GGTAGTAACAATTGCGTCAACGTCTCACTTTTTTTCCATCGGCCAAGTGGACAGCCTCTCCACATGAGCACCGCCGCGCCCACCACTGTTCCTGCTTCGCCGCCCGCGGCCCCCACGACAACGACCGTCCCGACCCCCATCTCCACCACCCCCTCCAGCATTTTGGAGAAACTCCCTCGCTTGATGGACGAATTGCCAAAGCATGCCAAGCCTGCGGCCCTCGCGAACAAAGTCCTCGCGTATGGCACTGCTGGATTTCGCGACAATGCTGACATCCTCGGGTCCACTTTCCACCGTATGGGCATGCTTGCCGTTCTTCGCTCGAAAAAGGAACACAAGATCACGGGGTTGATGGTGACTGCATCGCACAACGCGGCCCCGGACAACGGCGTCAAGCTCGTCGACCCTGATGGCGGCATGTTGACGCAATCGTGGGAGAAGTATGCGCAACAACTCGCGAACGCCACGACTGAAAAAGTCGTCGAAGTCCTGGATTTGATTGTGCGCACTGAGAAAATCGACTTGGATCAGCCCGGCAACATCTTCATTGCCAAGGACACTCGTCTCTCGAGCGAGGTACATACCACTTCCCTTCTCCTCTACCACGTCCTCGCGTCATTCCATATCTCGTAGCACTTGTCGGAATTGGCCCGCGAAGGTGCGCTGCTCATTGGCGGCAACGTGCTCGACTTCGGTCTCCAGACGACTCCCCAGCTCCACCACTATGTCCGCATGGTATTTCCTTTCCCGTCACAACGTCAACGTCCTAAGAATGCAACCTTCTATCGTTAGTGGAACTTTGAACAGTACAACAAGGGCGACTGGGCCTCCGAAACGGGTTACTACAACATGCTCGTCGATGCTTTCAAGCAGCTCACGAGCGGTGTCGACTCCAAGGTACTTTCGGCTCGTCCATGTCTAAATCCACGTTCTGATTGCTCCCTCTCGAATAGAAGCTCGAACTTCGCACGCCGCTTTACGTAGACTGTGCCCACGGCGTCGGCGCGCCGCAGCTGTCGAAGCTAGCCAAGGAACTCGGCGATGTGTTGCACGTCGAGATCCGCAACGCTCCCGCCGATGGTGAACTGAACCACGAATGCGGCGCGGAACACGTGCAGAAAGGTCGCACGCACCCCGCGGGCTTTTCCCGCGATGCCGACCGGTATGTGGCATGAATTGGTTGCGGCATGCTCATGCGGCATCTGTAGCGGCAAGCGCGCGTGCAGTTTGGACGGCGACGCGGATCGCGTGGTGTATCACTATTTCGACGACGACGGCAAGTGGCATTTGCTCGATGGCGACAAGATTGCGTGTTTGTTTGCCGACTTTTTCGCCGACAAGCTGCGGGTGCTGGACCTGGCGAACGAAATTTCGCTCGGTGTTGTGCAGACGGCGTATGCCAACGGCGGCGCCGGCGCATACCTCAAGTCGAAGAAGATTCAAGTGGGGCTGGCCAAGACTGGCGTCAAGTTTTGCCACCACAAGGCTCTGGACTTCGACATTGGCATTTACTTTGAAGCAAACGGCCATGGCACGGTCATGATGAAAGATCACGTGGTCGAACGACTGACAAAGCTCGAGGCGTCGACAAGTCTCGACGACAAGAAGAAGACGGCGGTGGCGCATCTCTTGGCCGCATACCAATTGATCAACCAAGCAGTCGGCGATGCGCTGTCGGACTTTTTGTTTGCCGAAGTCTTGCTCATCCAAAAAGACTGGACGATCCAAGCGTGGAACAACATGTACACGGACTTGCCGTCCCGCCAAACCAAGGTCAAGATTGCGGACCGCACCGTCGTCAGGACGACCGAAGATGAAACAGCATGCCTCGCCCCCGACGCCCTCAAGGAAGCTATCGACGGGCTCGTCGCCGCCGCCGGTCCCCAGGCCCGCGCCTTTGTTCGACCATCCGGCACGGAAGATGCCGTTCGTGTCTACGCTGAAGCCCAGACGGAAGCTGGTGCGAACGAACTCGCGCTCAAGGTTGCGCAGGCCGTGCATGCACATGCCGCGGGGATTGGCGAAGCGCCGACGGCGTTTGTAGCGTAAGAAATTCGGCAGGCTGCAGTCGAGGGAATGGGATCCGAGGAGCAGCACGATGTGGCACTTTGTCCGCCTCTCTGGACGTTTGAATCGATCGATTTTGCGACGTGGTTAGCTTGCTGTGATCCACCGAGGATGCGCTCAGTCTCGTCGATGGCGGTCTGGGGGTTGGTCATCGTTGCAGTGACTGACACAAAATGTGAAGAGCTGGATGCAGATGGGGATGCAGGATGTGGTCATGACTGGTGTAGAGCTGTCGTTTGGATGGCTGCGGCGGCAAAGTTGCCGTGGGTCGCGTTTAACAGGCGGAGTTTCAATCGCGATGACGTTCTAGTCGAAGCGCCGGCAACGCGGCGGCCGTTGTGCCACGTCATCCCTCCACAAGACACTCTTGAACCAGGCCATGCCCTTCTTCCAGTGCCACAACGCACACCCCACAGTAGCGGCGCAGTCGCTGAAGCAGCTCTCAGCGCACGTTCGGTTGGGTTTCGCTAGGGATGTCCCAAGGATGGTGTACGTGTTTTCGAGAATGACACCGCACTGCGCCGGGCGGTGAACGCAGTCTGCTCGTTTGTCTACGCAGCGACGCCGTAAGCTTGTCGTCGCGTTCTTCAGTCAGCACACGCTTTGCTGAACACCTACAAGATACACGTCGGCCTTGGGAAGTGCTCGTCGCAGCATCTAGTGGGGGTGAATTGGTCAACACTTGAGTATCGCTGCCCAATGTAGTCGAGTGCCATGGGTGTGTGGCACAGATTGGTACCTTCCAACAGCTTCTCCATTCAACAACATCATGATAAGAGTGCGTCGGGGTCACTCACGAGATGGATTTATTGTAGTAGTATTGAGGCTCATAAGGCAAAGCGTGAAGAGTGACCTTGGTATGAAGGATCCGTGCGAATGCCGGACGATAGTACAAGCGTAAGGTGGCAAGCACGATGAACTCGGCGTCATGGGAGAAGGACGTTCAGTAGAGCGCCCGAAGGAGCCCTGCACCAACAAACGTTGCTCCAAATCCAGCGAGCCATCGTCGGTGGCCAACCTGCGACGGTGGCACCTTGGACAGTTCATGGAATGCATAAGTGGCAACACCAAGACAAGTGATCGTTCCAGTGGCGCGGCATCTAGATATTAAATGATTAGCATACATATCGATGTGCATGCGGATTCAATGCGCACTCAAAGCAGTCCTTCGTCGGGACGTCTTTCGCAGAAGGCGGCGGCGCGGCACTGGTGGATTGCATCTTGGCAATGTGCAATGAATGACATGATTGGCTGCGTTGAATTTACTTGTTCTTACACAGTGTTAGTTTGGGCAAGTTGCGTAATAATGGATGAAATTTTCGAAATGATTTTAAAGAGGTTTGGACGGCATGACGCCAACACATATCTATTTATAGAGTTTTCGGTCCCATGTCTAGTTCATTTCTGCTGCAACGCGGCGCAGCGTCCGTCCTTTCCCGCGGCATTCTTGCTATATGGCCGACGAAGCCTCGCATGGAGCGAAGCAGAGCGGAGGTTATTCTTCCGTTGAATGGGACACCATCGGTACGTACAATGCCTTCACCATGTGTCTTAATACGATCGATGTTAGCTCGCGAGTTGACGAGTCCTCCACGTCGATTCCATGACGACTTCTTGCAAGCACTCCAGCCGTCGTTCATGGAATTTGCCGCGAAGAACAGCATGATGTTAGCAGATCAATTGACTCATTTTCTCAGTCGAGAGTTCCCGTCGTCCCCGTTGACAGGGCATGCCACCTACGCACGACATGTTTTGGAGAAAATCCATCGCATGCGCATGGAAGCGCCAGTGTCCACGTCAAACATCGATCAAGACTCGTTTCTCAAACACCCGAGCACGATCTCAAATCTGTACATTTCGTTCATGGAGCTGAAGACGGCACTACAAATGCCAACCATGATCTCGCATCGACTCGCAACGCTCGACCCGAATGCGCTCTGTCCCGCTGTTGTGTTTCCCATTGTTTCCGCCGCTTCGTCGCACCGACCTCGTTCTTTGACTCTTCCATCGCTGTCCATCCACTCTGTCCCAACTGGGAGCACGACTAATCACCCTCGCGAGTTTCGAGCCAATGTGTGCAAACGATCCCGAAAGTGGCTGGGTGGTCCACCGCGACCACGAATCCTTGTCGTGAAACGAGATGTCGTCGAATTGTTCAAGAAAGGAGACAAGAAAAAGGCCAGCACATCCGTTCTCGTTGCTTCGATCGATACCATCACGAAGTCAACAACGTTCGAGTTGACGGTGCTATCGAAAGACAGCACGACCCTTGTTCTCACGTGCGACACTCCCGACACTCTGTGTCTATGTGTATGTGCCAACTCGAATTCAATTACCTGACACTACCATGGCTGGTTTAGATAAGCGAAATCGCTACAACTTGCCTCGTTCACGCACTGGACACTGGACAACCGGCTTCTGTCGTCCAAAAATTTGTCGCTAGCGGCGCACGGGTCACGGGGGTTCAAGGTCACCTGACGCGTTTCATTGCCCCATGCAGTTCTTCATCGATGTCGACGATCGATCTCATTGGTATGGCGTATGTTGCCGACGAAAGAAGCCACGTTCGAGGAGTTGACGGGTCCCACGTTTCGGTGCTGTTGTCGGCCGGCGCATCTTGTCGCCCACTCCTTCGCTGGCCCTTCGCCGCGATGTTCTTCCTCAGGAAATCACCGCTCAGTCGCAACATCTTGGATTTTTTTACGCAACACCAACTACCGTTGGACGCTGTAGGAGACGATGCTGCCGCGTGGTCGTTGTTGCAGTACCTGTGTCTCATGCGCAATGTCTCCAGCGTCGAGCGGTTTGTGATGGAGGTTACCCAAAAGGCGGATGGGAATACGTTGCTGCTGCGATGTCTACAGCATGTGAACGGCGCCAACGACTCGGTACTACACATTGTATTCAAGCCACACAACCATCAACACTGCGACATTGGTGAACGCCACAGCACGATCAACCCCATTACTTCGTCGACCACCTCAACGGGACAAATCCAAGGCAGAATGAAAGACGAAGATGCCGAGTGGATTGGGTGTATGCTCCTCCAAGCAGCAGTCACAGCCACGGCAAGTGTGAAGTCAACGCCTTCCCCCACCATCGATGTGTTTCCACGCGGCGGAATCGGAGTGGTCTTGACGATGGAGCAGCCTTGGGTCAACCACTGCGACGGCCATGGCGACACGTTATTGCATGCCTCCATCAAGGCTTCCATGTGGAAATGTGTCGAGTTGCTTCTGGCACTGCACGCCTCCCCCACAATTCCCGATTTGGAGGTACATCCACCATTCTTATGACATGTTTTCATGTTTGGACGTAAAGGGCAACACAGCACTCCATTTGGCTTTGAAAATGGACGCTCCGTACCCCCTCGTGTGCCACCTCATTCGGTCGTCGGTGAGTCGTACAAAACAACACCTCGTCGACCAGATATCTCCGTCGAAAGATGGGAACAGAGCGATCTACCCGTTTGCGACCACTTACGGTGGGTTCGAGCGTTTGGATCAGCACGGCGACACGGCACTGACACTGGCGCTCAAGCTCCGCAACGAGCAGATCGTTGTTCGATTGCTCGAGAGTGGCGCTCAGTCCAACTACCACCAGCCATCCCTGGTGGAATCCAAGTCGTCCATGGCTGATTCACCTCTGCATATCGCGATCAAGACGGGTTTACCCACAGCCGCTCAGGCGCTTGTGCTGCATGGAGCGGCGTGGAATGTGAAAGACGCCCACGGGTCGACTCCTCTACCTCTCGCAATTCGACACGGCATGTACGCGCTCGCCTACGACCTATTACAAGCATGTGCAAACGAGCGGGCAGCGGGCATTGATGCGTCGCTGCTGGTTGACGAATGCTCGGGTGAATCCTTGGTGGGGTTGTGCTTCAAAGCCGGTCAATTGGAAGTCGCGGTGTTGGTCCTCGACTTATGTGGCCCACTAGCACTTCACACCCTGCATACCAAAACACACGAGAGCCCGCTGCACTATGCAATGAAGCTTCGCATGTGGATGAACGACAGCAATTCGAGACTGCGGTCAACGATGCACCACACCACGCCCAGTTCGACGAGTTCGATGACCGATCGTTCTTCCCCTGCTCAGCCTTTGAAACCAGCACATGGACCGAGACGAAGTCGTTTCAAGAGCAAGAGCGACAGCGACATTGGAGCCTTGCTCGTGGGGGACTGGTCCGCTATGACGACTCAGCACGACCACCATAATGGGTTCATTGTTCGCGTGCTCGAAGGAATGGTCCTGGGCCTTTTGAAGCAAATGGATCCCATGCAATGCCTTGCAATCCCTGCCAAACCAGGTAGCCAAAGCACCTTCTCGTCGCGTCTTAACACAGCGGCTCGTTTGTAGATTCAACATCGGCCTCGCACAACACGTACCATGTGGTCTTCCGTGAACATCGATCGATCGTGGATCATCACCCTGACTGGTTTACCCCTTTGCATGCGGCGGCATCTGGTGGACGTCACACTAACCACATCCTTCGATGGATGCTGCACCAACTTGAAATCAAAACGCGTGAAGAGCACAACATCGTTGCATTCCTTAGCGATCTCGTGGTTGGCCCGCTTCGAGAGACGGTGCTGCATGCCGCTATTGCGTCGTCGTCGCTGGAGAATGTCGTGGACGTGCTTCATTTTGTCACGAGCAACAATTTCGACGAGGACAGCGTGATGCATCTATTGAACGCGTCGCGAACAGACCATGCCACAGCGCTGCATTTGATTGCAGCCGACGCAGGCAACTCCCCCTCGCCAGATTTAGAGCTCGTGACGCGGCTCCTGCAGTTGAACGTGGATAAAGAAAGCTGGAATGCGGCTGGGTTGACGCCGCTGCAAGTCGCCATTCAGCAAGGTGCGTCCTCTTCGTGGATCGAGCGAATGCTTGACGAAGGATGCGACTTAAATGGTCGAGCCGAAGATGGGCGAGTTCCGGTCATGGTGGCATTGATGGCGAACAATCACGAAGCGTTTCACACGCTTGTGCGAGCTGGAGCCAACGTTAAAGCTGTGCTACCCAACACTCGTGTTGGTCTGGTCGACTTAGCCAACCAGACCCTCCAACAACCGCTGCATCTGACCATTGTCGAGACACTTGCAATGTTAAGCCGACGAGCGCAACATAAGGGGATGCAGCCGGCCGTTCCTTTGTCAGAATGCAAAGAGTTGAGGACAGCCACACCACGACCAAGCTTTGACAAACGGCCCAGCATGTCATTACCAGATTCCGCAAGAATGTCCTTCCATCATTCGGCGAGCCTCCCACCCGACGATGCAAGAAATCCGACAGCGATGGACGAAAATTGTAATTCCACTGCGATGACGCCATCGACGGCATTGGGGACCGAGAAGAAGACTCAAGATCCACGGTGGTTGCTGCACCGTCTCAAGGACGAAGAGCGCACGACGTTGCGATTGGTAGCATTGGAAGCCAAGCAGCAAGCGCGGGAATGGCTAACAAAACGCATTGGGAAGCAGAAAATCCTGTCGGATTCACTGCTCCTCCGCCAGCAGTACCTTGCCGAGCACGGACACGAGTTGGATGCGACGAGCGCCCACATCCAGGCGGAAAAGGTGATCCATTTTGTCGCGAGTGTGGCTGCTGACGGATGGTGGTTGGCGTAGTTGTTCATCGAGAGGCACGTGGCCGACATGGTGTCGGAAGCCAAACTTGAAATTGAGCGCGAAAAACAGACATTGTTGTACGAAGCGACGCGCGTGCCACTGAAAGAGCCGACGCGGACAACCCAGCCAAGCGAAGTGGTCTCGAAGCACATGCGCAATACCTCAGCTACGTCGACGTTCCTCCTCGAGAGCTTTATCGGACCGCACCTCGACCCCGACGACGACGACGGCATGGTGGAAGTGGACGAGGGGTATCTAGTGCCGATCGACTATGTGCGAAACACACTGTGCTAGATGTGGACGTCTCTATTTATTAAGGAAGTAATCACGTCCATGATACACCACTGCACAAAGAACAGCAATTCGTCTGGAAGATGTGCATCCTATGGCGCCCCAAGCAGCTCGAGGATTGAGATGAACATGCCACAAATCGAGCTTTTCAAGTCGGATCAGGTAGAACAATGCCGATCCATAGCGCGCCTTCGCCGCGGTTGTTGGGATAGCTCGATTACAGACTACAACGACACGGTGTCCGAGGCATTTGGACTGGCGCTAGATGACGTGGCGACAAGGAACGCCAGACGGCCATGCACGTCGAATGACCCGGCTCCAGGTGCGCTGGTGTCCACAGTACCAGCACATCCGCTTCCCGAGGTCGGCCACATGGCCAACCATTTCCTCGCCAACGCCGCGAGCCTCGGAAACATGTGCTGGTTGTGGCGCCACCACCGCAATGGGTCGTCGATGCCGCCGGCCACCGTGAGAAAATACGTCGTCAATTCTTCTTCCATCTCGACGAACGGTTGTCGCGCATCGATTCCGCCACTGTCCGTGTCGATCACGCCATGGCTGCCCAATGCCTGCTGCATGTACTTGTTGGGGGTCTGCACCGGCCGACACTCCTGCAGCAGCCGTTGTTTGATCTCAAACTTCTCTTCGTCATTCGGACAATGCGCCAACGTGGCGGCAACGCTGGGATGCAGTGCGGACGTCCACAGCAACGACGACTCGTCAATGTACTTTGCCAAGGCGGCATGGACAAATTGGCGGCTCGCGTGCAGATGCGTTACAATCACGTGGTCCAGTTGCAGCTCGGAAGCGTACCGGTGGGGCCACCCTTGCGAAGCAAAAAAGTCGGGGTTGTTCAGGTCGTGGACGAGAAGTTTCACGACTGACAACAACACGGCGGTCTGGGGTGGATTGCCCGCCCACGCGTTCTCCGACGAGCTAGTTGCTGGAATCATCGACGCCACTTGCAGCAACGGCGAGAGCAACAGAAGCAATCCATCCAGCACACACCAGTCGACGTCCGACAGTGCCAAGTTTGCCAGAACGAACCCCCGGTCGTTTGTCGCGTGGACGTAGGCAGCGAGGGCTGGCCGGAGATGCTGCCACGTGTGCAGCATGTAGTACGTCGATTTCCACTGCACGGGGCATGCCACGGGGGCGGATACGTTCGAGTTAGCTTGGAACTCGCCAAAGCGATCCAACGTGCGGCGAGCTGACGTGGACGGGTCAAAGTACCGCGCCAAGGCTGCGATGCGACTGACGAGGGATTGGAAAAAATCGCTCGTCCCTTGTGGAGTCGGCAGTGCGTTGGCTCGGTAGACGTTCATGAGGCCTTCCGACGTCGAAGTGGTGCGCGGTGGCAGGAGAGTTGCGATCAAAGCGTCAAAGTATCGCTCGAGGCAGCCGAGAGCACGCACAGGGAGCCCTCTCGTGTCCATATCGGAGACCACGACTGCAACTTGCGCCAGGGGAAGGCACCATTCGTGAAGGACGTTTGCGAGCGAACGGCTGAGAAAGTCTTGTGGAAGCGCGGTTGACGCAGACGACACTGGAGGCAGCGGCTGGAAGGCTAACGGCACGTGAATCCACTCAAACAATGCCGTGACGTGATGGAATGTCCATTGAATGTGGGGGTGTTTGTCGCCCAGCACGACGACTTGGCTGGACAGACAAAAGGACGCCGACGATTCCAGGGCTAACGACGATGCCATGAGCGTGCGGCGACGGTCGAAGAACAGTTTGTCGAGATGGGACTCCATGGCCGCGCGGGACGGCAACACAAACATCCCCGGGGCCATCTGAATCGCTTCGATCAGCTTGTGGAAGCGAGGATTGTCTACGGCGTCCAGTGCATTCGACGCGTTCAACGATGCGAGCCACTCGATCAGGATCCCTTCGCACTCTTTCGAACGCCCTGGCTCCATTACGCCAGACTTGCCATGTTTCGCTGATACCGATGGTACGAGAGTCGATGGCGTCTTCATTTTGTCCGTCGACCGCATCAACTTTTTCACGTACATCTCAACGTCGGCGCGGTGTTTGTTCTTGACGTGGCGATGCAGGTTCTGCGATCGCACGTAGTCGTGGGGAAAGCAGTCGTCACAGAGGTGGCAATAAAAGTGTGTCGCATCACGCGAAGTCCATCCGGTCGGCGGCATCACGCCAGCAGGGGCTACCAAGCTCACATACATCCAAATCTCGGGGCGGTTGATGTGCTTCACCTTGAAGAGCGAGATTGGACCGTGCTTCCTTGAGTGGAACGTAGTGGCGTGCACGGGGCCCGTGGTACCGCCGTTGCCGTTTTGAGGTGGATATGTCGTCGGTTGCATCACGTTATGGATGGCATCGCCTCGTGGCATCGTGTTGGGTGCCACACCTCGCTGAGACTTGGCTAGTCCATCGTCGAGGGCAAGGTCGCTAGTTGCTTTCCGCTTTCCAGACACCCCACTGCTGTCAACGGAGCGCTGATGCTGCAGATGTTGCACCGATGCTGACACTTGCTGAATCTCAGCCGAGTGCTTGGACTTCATGTGCCGATGGAGGTTTTGCAACCGCGTCGGGTCGTGTGCAAACACATCGTCGCAGAGATGACAGTAGAACTGAGGCGCCTCCTTCGAGGAGCACTCCATCACGTCCAGCCCAGGTGCCACGAGGCTCGCATACTCCCAGATCTCAGGGCGCGAGATGTTCTTGAGCTTGAAAACTCTCAAGTCGCCATGCTTCGCCGAGTGGAAGGGAGTCGTCTCGAGTTTCCCCATCTCTCTTCTCCAATTGACTCACTCTCCTTCCAACGAATGAAAAAGACACGAAAATATTGCCAATTCCACGACGATGTATCGACTCAAACGACAAGAATTTCAGTAGGTTGGCCAATTTTTCATAAATTTGCAACAATTTTCCATTTTGGCTAACATTTTCTTGAATATGCAAACGAATATATGTTTTGCACCAATCACAACACTCTGGATTAAATCATCACATTTTCCCAGGCATGCATCCGCTCGTGCGAGATGTATACAAGCGAGTCCTTGCGGTCGGGCGGGACTACCCTCTGGGCTTAGACTACGTCCGTGAGAAAGCCAAAGCGACCTTCTTCAAGCAAGCCCACCTGACAGCCGAGGAAGATATCAAACGTGCCGTACATGTTGGCCGGTGGAAGGTCAAGGAAATGGTAGGGGTGATCCAGCTCAAGAAGTACCGTGCCATGAATCAGCGGTACACACCAGCCGACATGCATGTATTACTGCGCACGTTGCATGAGGAGGCTGACGCGTCACTCTCTCGGACCGAGCACTCCCCCGACGGGAGTAGTTCCTTGTGAACCCTGTTCCAGTCCACGCCGTCGTCGAGACCTCGTCGATTTCCAACGCATCTGCCATTCTGTTTGACTCCACCGTACAATTCCTTGTACCGCAGGGATATCTCTCGGGGCGATCGAAGACTATCTCTATTTCGTGCATAAATACTGTTCGTGCATCTTCTCATGCCATGGGCAGGACGGTGCATTGGATGTTCGCGGGCTGGCCGGCGTGATCTCGCACGAGAGCCACTGACACAAACACGAGCTTGACTTGGCCTGCCCTCCCAGCTTGCCACGTCATTTTGGTCTGGGCAGAGTGGACATCGCACGTAAGGACCTTCGTCACGAGGGACTGCATCTTCGGCACGTCGGACGCAATGCACAGCGCGTAGAGAGTATGATTGTAGTCGTCAACCATGGTGGGAAAGTACTCGTGAAAGAGGTAGTTGGCATGGACGAGGGTGCCGTCGAGCCGCGCAATGAGCGATGGCACACTCGTGTGGAGGAATACGTGCCGGAACGACGCTGTAGAGTCGGCTACGAGCTCGGGAACTGGCAAGGACGGGGCCATGGGGGCTGCGAGGCTCCAGAGGCACTCTATGGAGGACGAGTGGGCCGGCGGAGCTGGCTGGTACTGCGGGGTGGGTGGCTGTGCTTGTTGAAGTACGTGCATGGGGTCCAAGGCAGGGTCAGCTCGGAGAACGTGACCGTATTGGCTGTGCGGCGAGTTTTCTTTCCCGTGTGGTGCAGGCTCGCATGTTTCGTTGAGCTCCAATGTAGGCGACGAAGACTGAGCTGAGGACGCTGTTCGCGTTGTTGCAGCCTCGCATTCCAGGGCCGCAATGTACTCTATCGTTGCCTGGAGAATGCTATGCTTGTCTTTCTTGTTCGAGATGAACCCGACAGCTTCGAGTTTCGCCTTGAGGTGGTCAAACTGACTGCCGATCCGCATGATGCGTCGCTGTTCGCGCAGATTATGCCGTTGCTTCCGAGAGATGTCGGACGGCGTGTGTGACGGTGTCGTCGTGTCCGGGCTGCTGCTACCGCACGTTGGAGTATTTCCTTCCCTGGATGTAATCGCGATTAGTGGTTCGCGTCGCAGTTGGAGGACTTACGAGCCAAAGATCGAGTCGCTCGTGGCACGGGGACGCCTCCCGACGATGGTACTTCTGCCGTCGACGACACCAAGGTTAACGTGCATCGATGGGAAGGTCGTGCTGTGTTCTTGACCTATTCCAGAACTGGAGGTGGCGCTCGCGCGCCTCTGGCGCGTCTCCATTTGCATGGCGGGACTGTAGCTGCTCGACTTCAACGGGAGGTACGAAGTCGCAGAGTGCAGGGGCAGCGGCGGCGGGGCTGGCTCCATCGACGAACCTGCTGCTTTACTGCACTGCTCTGGACAGACAGTGAAGTGTGTGCATGGGCGTCTCAAGCACTTTGGGAGCCCATGCATCACGGGACTCGAAGTCCACTGTTCGACGGGATTCGTCGAAGTCTCAATGCGACCTCCTGCAAACTTCGATTGGACGGGACGCACCTGCAACACTTGCGGCGACCGCTCCCTCCCATACACAGCAACGATGCCATCACCCATGACAGTCGTCACCACCGCGCCCGATCATTGCGTCGTTCCTCCCCACCGGCAACAAACCCACCCACCCAATTGGTGTCTCCTCGATCGAGATTCCCCACCATACTTTAATGCAGTCCCTCCAAATCTCGATCCAACCCCAACGTTCCTATACCAGGTACATGATGATCGTGAGAGCATGGCTTTGGCAACCGTCGAACCACCGCCCAGAGCTGCATCTTGTTCACGAGAGGATGAGGCGGTCGCTCGAGCAGGATGCTGGCCGCGCGAGTGCTCGGCGGCGAATGGATAAAAACGAACATGGCTAACTCTCCAGAATTTCGGCTGAATCGGATTGGATAAAAAGTGTGTATGAAACCAATCACTTCCTTGCATTGGTAGCTTTTTTGAACGTGTTGATTGGATGAAATGAAATTCTATTAACCAATCGCATGTCATTTTGTTGCTTGTGGAAAGTAGTCTGGATGGATGGCAACAACCAAGGCAGCGCTTGAGAACCTCGTACGCGATGGCGAGGCGGCCGACGTGACGGTGCACGGCCAACTGTCCCGCAAGAGACTCCTCTCGTACGTCTATATGGGAATGTGCTACTTACGGATGTGCCGACGATCGTGGGGATGCGTAGACGTGGCCTCATCTTTGGCGACCTTCTGCTCTCCGACAACAGTACGTCATCCATCATTCCGTCGCACGCGCATGCTGCTCTACAAACCAACGCGCCTGTCACTGTGTATGCACAGCGCTCTTGAACTTTATGGTGCGAGCGATGGACGGTTGGCTGACCAAGGAGCAGGTCGTGGCGCTCAAGTTTGCCATGCATCTTGGTGACATGGTGGCTGCGCGAGGGCGACTAGAGCGAAGCGCCGACTCGAACGAGCTCTTGTTCGTGTTGGTTGAGTGTGCGACAACCGTTAGTTGGGACAGCCTGCACCCTGGTGCGTTCACCTCCACTATCTTGCACTCACTCCGTTGGCAGGAACCCCCTATACATGCGACCAATCGACCTTTTTCACCAGCGCCGACAACGGATCGTCGCAGACCAATATGGTGCAGCTGCAAGGCATGAACGCGTGCAAGTACTACTTCAACAATGCTTCGTGTGTGCGAGGCCATGCCTGCCAGTTCTTTCACGGGTCGGTCCATTGGTCCATCAACTGAATGGCATTCACCAGCACGTAGAAAGCCCGAAGAGTACAACGATCTCCGAAAAGAGTGGCTAGCTAAGCGCCTGCAACTCAAGCGCGCGGTGTCGGCCATTCCAGGCGACCAGCATGATCCGAACGAGAAGAAGCTCAAGAGTGCTCGGGCCAAGCTCTTTACCGAGTGGCTCGTTGCTACGTTTGGCAAAGCATTGCTGCGCCAGGGCAGTGGGGTGTTGGATGTAGCCGGTGGTCGCGGAGACATTGCGTACGAACTCTGGATCACCCACAACGTCCCGTGCACCCTCGTGGAACCCGTACGGTGGTGGCATCGCTTCAACCTCTCATGCTTCTCGTAGCGGATGCGGAAGCCCCGGAAAGAACACTTCAAGGCGCTCGCCGCCAACCCCCGCCTTACCTTACCTCCCCAAGTACCCTGTGCTGCTTTTCGAGTCGACTTTTCAACCCAATGGCGTAGATTCAAGCATGCTTGGATGCGAGCACAATGGCGACACATGGCCAGACGTTGGCCCAAGCGAGTCTCGTCGTCGGGATGCACCCAGACGAAGCAACAGAAGCAATCGTGGACATGGCGCTGAGCATGCAGAAACCATTTGCAGTTGTTCCGTGCTGCGTCATGAGTCGGCAATTCCCGCACCGCCGACTCGACGGCGACCTCGTCGCCACTTACAACGTGTTTGTCAAGTACCTGCGGCGCAAGCACCCCCAAATCCAAGCCACTTTTCTTCCGTTCGCCGGGAAGAACCAAGTGCTGTACATGCTGCCGACACACTACCCATGCACCTGAAGGACGGCTAGCACACAGCTTCGACCTGTTGCAATCGCGACCGGCCAAAGGGACGGCCCTCTTTCAGTTGACGCCGTGTTGTATAGCTCAGTCAAACGGGTTGGCTAACTTGTCGTCCATGGCGACGTACACGCTCTTGAGCTGTGTCCATGCGTTGGCAGCAGCTACGCCGTTTTCCCGCCCGATGCCAGACTGCTTGGATCCTCCCCACGGGAGCTCGACCGGCGCCAAATTGTACGTGTTTATCCAGGCTGTCCCGACGTTGAGTTTGTGAAGCACGCGATGCGCGCGCTTCAAATCGTTGGTGAATACCCCCGCAGACAAGCCAAACGATGTCGCGTTGGCGCGGTCGATGACTTCGTCTTCTGTCTCGAACGGCAGCACGCACAGCACCATGCCAAAAATTTCTTCTTGAACGATGCGCATGCTGTCGGTGCAGTTGGTGAAGACGGCGGGAAGGATGTAATTGCCACGGGGGTCCACGGAGGCGTTGGCAGATGGAGCGATGCCGCCGTAGAAGAGCGTGGCCTTGTCCTGTTCGACGCCGATGCGAATGTACTCTTGGACTTTCGCGAGATGCGCTGCGTGAATCATCGGGCCGACTTGAGACGATTTGGCCAGCGGGGGACCGACACGGAGGTGCTGCGTGCGAGCAATCAATTTGCTCACGAACGCGTCGTGCAGCGACGCATGCACAAACACCCGCGTGCCATTCGAGCACACTTGGCCGTTGGAATACCAGTTTGCAAGCATGGCACCCGCCACCGCGTCGTCCAAGTTGGTATCGTCAAACAGAATGAGGGCCGACTTGCCGCCGAGTTCCATCGTGACCGGCTTGAGCTGAGACGCACATGACGCATACACCTGCTTCCCCGTCGCCACGGACCCTGTGAACGACACTTTTCGCACAGCCTCGTGGTGGATCAAGGTCGACCCGACTGCACCGCCACCCAACACTACGTTGAAGAGACCGGGGGGAAGCCCCGCCCTTGCGTAAACTTCGGCGAGTCGGATGGCGGTCAGCGGCGTTTCTTCGGATGGCTTGAATACCATAGCGTTGCCGAATGCAAGGGCTGGCGCACTCTTCCACACCTACAGGTCGGTAGGTGAGTAGATCGCGGTATGGAGAAGCATGGCGAACAGCGGATTGAAGGGGATAGTTCCAGGCGCCGATCCCGGCAGTGACCCCGAACGGCTCGCGACGCGTGTACGCCCAGTTGGGAGTGTGGAAGTCCATCATCTGCCCGCCTAATGTCGGTGCCAACCCCCCAAAGTACTCGAGGCAGTCTGTGGCGCTCAAGATATCGCCTTCCATTTCCGAAATGACGCGGCCGGTGTCCGTGCTCTCGAGGATTTGAATGTCCTTGGTCTCGTCGTGCAAGATTGCGGCCGCTCGTCGAAGGATTGCCCCTCGAGCCGCAGGTGACAGCGACGCCCACGCGGGCTGGGCCGACGCCGCACTCGCGACCGCGTCCGCAACTTGTCCCTCGTCGACGTCGTGGAACTCGATCGCGGGAGCATTCGTGCTCGGGTCATACAGTGTCCTGGCCATACCACGACCGCGCACGTGCTTGCCATGGACGAACGACTTGACATAACGGATTGCCGCGCTGGTTGCCATGGCTCGATGCGATCTTCCTTCTCCCGCGAAAGCGAATTTGACGGTTTCAACCAATCACACCAAAGGCACTCAAGCCGTCGGCCGCCTGGGCGACCTCAGCTTTGCAAGGAGACGGTAGCGCATGCAAGGAAGGCATGTCCATGATGGTATGTTCCGATGATGGTACTTCATCGACTGTTAGTTGAAACGCGACCTGGGACCGACATGACTTGGAGACCCTATGGACGGAATCAGGACGATGTGGCTCCCGAAAAACCTCGTGAGGGGTGTATTGAACGATGAACGAGGAGACGAATCTATCACTTACGCGGCACCGTGGGTTCCATCAGGAACTGAACATGGGTTGCCCTCGATGGGCTTTTATCTCTGACTGTCGACCATCCATCCACGCACAAGTGGACACAAGAAGCCATGATCGAATGTGGAGAGAGTGCACGAACCGTCCAGGTAGCGAGGATCGGGCGACGTGGTGTTTCTGCAATGGCAGGTTGGCGCCTGGGCCACCGCCGCCCGAGATGGGTCCTGCAGGGGGTCATCCCATGGCGCAGTTGTCATCCGACATAACATCCACGTGTATCCATGGCGAGGATGGCTTTGCACCAGGCGTGACAGCGCCTCGACCTCGTCCTGTAACGAGGCGAAGTCGTTGAGCCACAGAGGGGACCCCGTGTCGAAATGAATCAGGGAAGCACGAGGTTGCCGTGTAACACCAAGACTGTCGACTGCCTTGGGTGTGGAGAGCCATAGCTTGTGTCGTTGTCATACTCCTGTTGTTTGCCACAGTTATCGCGACGAAGGAGAGAGGGAGGAGGGCATGCTCCACTGGATGCGTTCTCTCCAGCTTGTCCTCGTCGTGGTGCTTTCCTACCACGGGGTTTGCATGGCTCCCAACTGACGACGATGGTTTGTTTTGGCTGTCGATCCCTACTCATGCACCCGTGACTCGATTCGCCTCGGACGTTCCAAGTTGTTCTGGCACCGAGTTGGGCCACGTGCTGAGACCACCCGAACTGTCGAGGAAGGGGCTGGCAGCACATAATGTATGTCGCCCGGGATGCATGGCGTTAAAGGAGCAGTTTTCATTTGACACCATGGCAACGATCAAGACGCCCACCGACGCAGACGTCGCAGCCGTGCGCCGCGTGGTGCGGGACGTCCCTATGTGGAAGAACCAACTGGCCAGCGGCGACGACGTCATCGTGACCTGTCTTCCCGTCCTGACGGCCAACAAGATTCTCGTTGCCGACTTTCGAGGGAAAAAGGTCCTCGTCAAGTTTCCGATGGAGAACGTCTTCAGCATGGTCTTCGATCTCCACGAGCAAAAGATCGTGAACGACATGGTGAGCTTGTACCGCGGCGATCTCGAGCGGAACCCCAAGGTGCTCTACGTCAACGACGTGTGCCGCGTCGACGAGTTCGTCGAGTGCCGCACACTGACGTCCGCAGACTACTTGGACGAGACCACGATGAAGCACTTGGCCATCGAGCTCGCCACCCTCCACTGCGACGTGCGACTCAAGGACCGGTACATCGCGCTCAAGGACGGCGACGTGTACACGATCGCGGATCGGCTCCGCGGCATGCACGAAACCGTCAAGGTGAACTTTCCCATCCGAAGGACGCGCATGGCAACCCAAGTGCCCGAGGTCCATCAAGCACTTGCAACGACTGTGCATGCGGCCATGGAGGTGCTGGCCGACACAGCATTCTTCATGCACGTGCTCAACAAGTGCTTCCCCGCCTCGTCCGAGCTCGTGTTGTCGCACAACGACCTTCGAAGCGCCAACGTACTCTACTTTAGTCCAACCCACGTCCAGATCATTGACTTTGACGGAGCAAATTTGTGCTACCGAGGCGCGGACATCGGATACATGGCCAACAACCGAGACATGCAACGAGTGCCGTGGTCGCAGGACGATCTCGACCACTTTGTCCAGAGCTACATCGACGCTTGCGCCGCCAAGGGAGTGATCGTAGCCAAGGATGACTTGATGGCGCAGGTCGAGCGAGGCAAAGTCCTCTCCGTGCTCTTCTTCATGACCATGTTCGGGGCCTGCGACAACTGGGATATCTTTCACCAGATTGGATTCAACTTCATGGCGACTTTCCCATCGCTCATGCAAAAGATCGTTGCGTTCGCCGCGTAAGGGAGCGCAGTGGCGTTTCGCGAGGTAGCGAATTTCATAGCAAATTGGACCGAGTTACTCTTCGCCTTGGGTGTATGCCGCTACAATCACTTCAGCTCTCTGGCGCGGCACCTGTCGATCTCCAAGTACTGGTTGGGTGGTATTTCAACTGCCACGGGGGTTGATGGGAGTATGCCGCAATTGAAGGCACAAGAAGCCCATCGAGTCGATGCACATCCGAAAGCATCGCCTCAAGAACGATGGCATCCAAGCTCATCCATCGCATCGGGGCAAAAGGTGCTAGTAAGAGCTGGCTTTGTCTGGGGAAGGGATCGACATTGGGTGCTGAAAGGGTGGCGGTGCATGACCACGTGTTGTTCGCTGCACACAGATGACCTTCAGCGGAAGAGCTCGTGATCGACCACGCCCTTTGACGTGCATTGCGCGGATATCCTTTCGTCGTGTAGACGTACCGCCTAAAGCTTGTGACCTGACGACTCCCGCCAGAACGAAGCCATTATGTTAGACGTCTTCGGGACACAAGCGCCAGGTCGTACGAGCCGCACATGCACCTGGGCGATATCAGCATGACGACGGTGGAAGCGCAAAGCCATCGTTGAATCCGTTCTTCGGCAACGTCACACTCGAGGCATCGTCTCTCCTGTGCTTGAGGGCAGCGACGCGTCCGTCGTATGTATGTGGCGGCTCCCCGTTCACGGTCGCGCAGCGAGGATCAACATGACAATGGCATGTTGATTACACCGTCTCGGCTACTTCTTCTTCTTCACAATGTCGTCCAACGACATCGAGAGCTTTGCCGTCGTCGGTAAAGGTGCGCTCCCTTCATTATCGTCGGACGCGTGGTGAAGTTTCTTGCCCGCGCGCTTGACAAACTTGGGTTGCTTGTTCACCATGTGGCGCTTCTTGAACAGTTTAGGCTTGACTTCACGTGTGTATCTCGCTCCATGTCCTGCGGCAACGCGCCCTTTCCCAGTCTTTGATGGAGAATGGTGATGCTTCGTCAACTTGGCACGCGACGATTGCTGAGCGGTGGGAGTCGTGACGACACCTCCGGCGGCGCGGTCTTCCGCAGCTTTCTTGCGTTCAAGAAATTTTTGGAGCGCCTCTTCCTTGTTGGACGTAATGCTACCCCCCGGCCACGCTATCCTTTTCGCAGCGACAGCCGCGGCGTCCTGCAACTGGCTCGACTTGACGTGGGCAAGCGAGATCATCTCGTTCGGACCACTTCCAGTTCGAAAATGCGACTCACCGGCTTGCTCGAAAAACACTTCGAAAATCGAATAATTTTAATAATATCTTGCGGATTGTATGAAGCAGTTAATATTATACTTGTCCACCTGTTCTTGCAACGTTTTTTGCATTCGGCGAAGATGCGATGATGACTCGAGCCAGACCAGTGCCGCCGCCAGATAGCTCCTGCGACAGGGAAATCTACCACCGATCTGCATGGAACTACCAAGAAGAGTGGACGGGATTCCATGCACCCAAAGGTTCGGAGCGACTGCGTTGCTTGAGGGGATGGATCACACGATGGCATCTCGTAAGTGAGCAAGATCGTGGTGGTGCTGCAGGAAGTGACACAATTGTACAATTCGATGCCTGACCATTGTCAATCAACTCTACTTATCTACGACCTTCAACCCAATCGACCGCGCGGACCCAATAATGCTCTTGCACAGACTGGGGAGGTCGATGAAGTCCAGCAATTCGTCCTGTTGCTTGACCTTGGCGATCTCGAAGATGTGGCGCAATGAAACAGTACCGACTTCTTTCTGTCCAGTAAGATCGCTGCCACTCGTGATTTGGGCGGCCTTCTTCAAGAACCACGTCGTCGGGGGGGTCTTGGTCGCGTACGTGAACGTGCGATCGGTCATAGCAGTCAACTGGACCGGGATCGGTGTGCCAGGGATGATGTGGGAGGTCCGATCATTGAACGACTTGCAGAACTCCATCATGTTCACACCGAGAGGACCCAATGCTTGACCGATGGCCGGCGACGGCGCCGCCTTTCCTGCCAGCACACGGAGACGCACCACTCCCTTGACCGACATGACAACTGAGTGAATGGAGGAAAGCGTCAACCGAAATCATTAGATTTTCTACCAATCATAACCAATTGTACTTAATTGAATGGTGGTTGGAACCATTCCGAATAATCACTTTTCCCGCCGTACTTGAAAATGCAGAGTTATTTCGCCGTTTCGATGCAACCTTTCAGTGTTGCTGCCTTCGACTTGTAGCCATGCTTGCATTGTTGCTTGCATGTAGGGCAAATTGCTTGTTGGACATGTGACGGAAGGGCAGGTGTGCAATCCTGCGTTTTTTGGATGAACGCGTGTTGAATCCTTTCCAGCGTTGCAACCGTCAGCAATTCAAATTTCGATACTTTACAGGATGTATACAGATCTTTTTAAATGGATGTAATTCGAATCCATGTTTGAGCATATGAATTTTATTACTACGTAGTATGTGCATGGCGATTCCGATCAAAAGCATTTCGCTGAAATGGCCGACCTCAAGACGACATCGCCGCCAGCACACGACTTCTTTGGCGGATGCAGCGCACTCTTCATGGATGAAGGTATGTTATGTTCTTGCGCTGGTGCATCAAATGGCATCGTAGTGTTCAAGGCTGTAGAGGACTTCGTGGACGACGGAATGACGTCGCTGGAGCGCAAGCTGTTGGAGTGCCATGGAGGCCCGTCCATCACTTCGAGTCAAGCGCATCATATTCATGAGGTTCCATTCTTTTGGTTCTTTGCGGCTTTAATCTCGTTATGAAGGGAGTTTCGAATTACATGGACGCCGTGCGCACTGCGTTCGTGAAGAACTTTGACAAGTTTGAACTGTACATGTTGCGCAACGTGTTTGTGGCACCAGACAACATCGCGGAGATCCAAACAGCGGCACATGCTCACGAACATGCGCAGTCGACAGACTCGGATCAATGGAACGACGCCAATCCTGCCGATGTGGAAGCAGAACTCCATGCGCTTCGTCAAGAGTTCTTCCGCGCAACAGAAACGCAGCGATCGCTCTTAGCCGCAAAAAACGCTGTGGACCAGCAAGTTGGCGACGTCCATGCGTTTGTGGCCGATCTCAGCTTCACAAAGGACATTCCGAAGAAAGGTACGCAGCGTACTTCTTCATCGCTCTTTCCCACGTGTCTCGTCAAGTTGGGCCGCTTGGCGAGCATGTCAAATCTGCTGTCGAGCTCCGCGAGTCCTTTAGCACCATGAAAGGTCTGCTGCAAACTCCATCGATGACTGTCCTCATGGTCGACGACAGAGCTGCAACGGCATTTGAACACCAAGTCCATCGCCATCACGACCCCGCCGAGGCAATCGACGTACGGTAAGGCGGTTCTGGCCACGGAGTGCGGTGTGACGTCGGCGAATAGAAACTGTGACTTCGAGGTTCCACAAGCAATCGATGCAAGTGCCGCTAGACGACCTCGTGCGGCTAAACGAGGTGCTGGCGCAACGTTAGTCGGCCCTCTCTTCCTTTTTGTAAATCTCTTAACCCAGCTCAAGGTGTCCATAAGCAAACCACCAAGTCAGTGCTGCACTCGAGAATACTTAGGGACCTCAATGCCACCGCGACCACGTGCATGCTCAGCGAATGGCCACGTGGACTGTTTGCATCAGGTGAAGTTGGATGCGACCGTGAACACCGCTGCAGAATTGCATCATTCGTCGGGCTGGGTTGCGGCCACGAACCCAACTGCTTGCCACGGAACTCCCGATACCCCACGACATGAGGAGATCGGAAAATGTTGGCCCATGATTCATCTGAATTTGTTCAGCACGCACGGCCACATCGAGACTTTGCTGGTGGAAGCGCCGCCCGTGCTTTTTTCTCGGAACTCCACATCATCGGAACAGCAGATATCGCTCGCCTTGCAAACCAGAAGCATGGGAATTGAGTCGTTTGGCTGAAACCACACCCACGACGTCGCCAGTATCATTCTTGTGGGCGGCGATCCCCCACGACGACGCAAACTTGTTACGACTGGTCTGGATGCCGCCCAAGCCACGCCCTCGTTCACTCCTTGAAGCACGACGTGATGGCGTGAATTGGAATCCCCACACTGGCTCGTGTCAGGAAGCACATCGTGTTGCAGGATGACTGGGCGGCTCCCATGCATAAGACCGAGCACTTGGATGCAATGAAGGTGCTCGTCCGCCATGTCGACATCGAACTCGGTACTGCGAATCGGCATACGTCCTCGATGCAACCAAGCCACTCGCGACATGGCTTTGCTTCTGGTGGCCGCGGACGACCACAACGACGTCATGCACTTCCGCCTCAACCCCATCGTTGTAGGTATGCATTCAATCTTCATACGAGTCGACTCGACCTACTTGAACTCGAGACAACGAGCGGCATCGTGGCCGCCACCAATGGCTGAAGCGGCCTCCACTTCGTGGCTCACTGCGGCACCGACGCCAGCGACACCACCAGCCCCGTAAGCTAGCTGAACCGCGGCGTATGCTGCTAATATGTCGTCAAGTTTGCAAGAGCTAGCTGCTCTGGTCGCGGCTGCCCAAGGAGAACGCATCGACATTGTGCAGGAGTTGCTTTCACCACTGTATATAGCGAGCCCAAATGCCGAGGCAGAGATCGTTGAGGTCCTGCGCAACGACACCACCGAAATGGACGCCGTCGCAAACGAACGGTGTTGTCGCGGTGGCTTGGCCGTGGATTTTGAAGGACTGATATGTCGTGAGAGGCGGGCAGGAGCGACGGCACTGCACATGGCAGCGCGCAGTTCGTTTTTCGAAGTGGTTCAGATGTCGGTCGGTGCGGAAGCCAACGTCGAAAAGATGTAAACCGAATTGGATTCAATCATCGTGTTACGGACACGGTTCGGTCGGTACGATGGCGGCAAGGCTGGCCAGCAAATCTGTCACGACCGAAACGTGGCCGCGAAAAAAACCAAAGCATGGCGCGGTTGCACCACTGCCAAGTGCAAGCAAACCCACAGCTCAACTGGAACGTGTTCGTACATAGCATTGAGCAGCGATCTTGGCCGCTACATGGCCCCAAACTCAGGGCAAGGTGGTGGCGTCTGCTTCGGGCAAGTGCGCACATGTTTTTTCGCCACTTGATAGCATCTTCTTCAATGTCAAGTGCATGCATGGAGAAACGAATCGTCTATACATGCAAATTAAAACTCGTCCGACGACAACTCCAAGTTGTGTGCGTGCAGCCTCGCTTGGTTTTGCAGCTCCGTAAAGCACGACACTTCCAGCGTCAGGACAAAGAACGCCACGACGTACTCGACAAGTGCGTAGAGGAAGCACAACGTGAGGCCCGAGTACCACAGCACGCGACTCCACACGCTCCAGACCTCGCCCCACTGCGATACATTCACGGCCGTGGCGAGCGCCACGAAGATGAACCCGACGGCTGCGCGCTTGAGGTGTGTGATGCGAAGCGCGACTATTTCGTTGCGCCCGAGCGTCAAAATGTCTTGCACTTGACGCAAGCACTTGATGGGATTGCTCGACGTGGAGCGGGCTGTCGGGGGTGCCGTCGACGGATCCAAAGCAAACGCGGCGTGGACGCCAAAATGGTCGGACAACGGGCATTCTTCACCGCACGACGTGGTAAAGTAGCCTTTGAACACGCCGCTGTCTGTGAGCTGCCATGAGGAACCAGCCGCGGTGCGGAATAGAATGTAGTCCATGCGCATTGGGTGATCGCCGTGGCTGAACTTGTTGTCTTCCGTGCCAAAGGTGAGGCCCGCCTCGGTTGGATCGTTCTCATGGAACGCATCGCGCATGCTTACAAGCTCTCGAACGATGTCAAGGACGAGGCAGTCGGACGGCGAGTTGAAGTCGCCGCACACAATGACCAGGTCATTCCGGCTCGTCTCGGAGATGAAGCAGCTCAGCTCGTACGATTGCGCTGCGCGGTGTGGCATGTACGTATCCCCTGGTCCAGGTTTTCCCAAATGGTTGTAGTTGGCTAGGAGATGCGTCACGTACAAATCGGCGATTTCCCCGCCTTTGCCATCGTGAACGCGAAGAAGGCCGACGCCTTTGTTCGCGATAAAGTCGGCTTCATGCAACGCGTACGGCCGTCCAGTGAGGAGGAAGGGATGGTACATTGCAGCAGACAGACGGTACTTGGATAGAATGAGCAGACCCGTGCCAAACGAGTCGTGTCCTATCGGGAGTGGGAACCCCACCGCCGGATGGAAGTAGTGCGAATACCCAAACCCGGCTCGAGTAGCCGCGCATAAAATGATATTCTTCTCGCGGCGATGCCAGACTTCCTGAAGCGTCACGATGTCAAACTCGGTCGATCTCGCTTCCAACATACGGCCGATTGCAGCCGCACGTTCGAGCACATGTGGCGAGACTGGAATGCCCCACACGTTCATCGAAAGGACGCGGATGGACTTGGGTGCGTTGGGCTCGTGGACCTTGGAGATAACAAAGGACGGAGCAACATTTTCGTCCACGTCGGCTTCGAACAGCTCCATCGCGACGCGCCGCTTGATGTCGCGCAGGGTCTTGCCGAGGCCCATCTTGCCTAGTGTTGCTGCCCACTGTGGGGTGCGGGTTGTCTAAATCTGACGTCGACATGTTCCGGATGAAAGCATTCGGATAACGGAACAACTTCCTAGTACTACTACACGTAGAAAGGCCACCACGATAGTATTGTTGTAGAAGTTAGTACTATTACTACGTAGTAGTAGACTTGCTTCGTTGACATGGGCAACTGCGTCATGCACCGTTTCTTGATCCTTTGCATGATTAGAATTACCAGTAGTTGGTTCTCGCGCCGATCCAGTGCAATTTCCATGAAGCACACTCACAGTCAATTATTCATTTGTCTCCAAGTCATTTGACTGAGGGCCAAATATGTCTAGTAGTACTAGATTTCTTCGTTATCCGGATATAGCCGGTTACTCATCCGACTGCCGCGTTCCTCTTGACACGACGTTGAGGGCATCAAACATCGACTGGTCTGCCCGGAACGCCAATGCTCGGGCATCGCCTCCGCCAAACAAGGCATCATGTCCTCACGCCGCGCCTTGGAGTGTCCTACTCGCGCCCGAAGCAGATCCCAACTTTCCCTGCCTGGCATACGCGCTTGCACAGCAGTCTTGGTGCCAAACATGACGACGCGGCCGAGTCGACCAACCCACCAACACCCTCCACGGACAAACCCAAGCCAAAAATGACCGACTTCAAGCGACTCATGGCGCTGTACAAGCCAGAGAAGCGCAATTTAGGGATTGCCATGACTGCGTTGGGCCTTTCGACGGGTATCACGATGTGTATGCCATTTGGAATGGGACGTATTATCGATGTGGTGACGCAACCGAATGGGCTGGAGCAACTTCCTGTGGTCGTCACAGCCCTCGGAGGACTCTTCCTCGTTGGGGCAGCGACGAATGTCGTCCGTGTGAACATGATGAACATGATCGGCGAGCGAATTGCCAACAAGCTTCGGCAGGACACCTACGCATCGATCTTGAAGCAGGACATGACGTTCTTTGACAAAACCAAGACGGGCGAATTGCTGAATCGTCTTTCAGCAGGTATGTCACCGTGACGTTGTCTACTTTGCCTTTTCCATCGTGACGTTATCTGTACGAGAGTTGAAACATGGGACCATTCGACGAAGTTGACATCGTGACGTGCCTCCAGGCGGTAGACCTTTTGATTCTCCTTCTGTCTAGACACGGCGCTCGTGGGGACGGTGCTCAGTGACAACGTGTCTGCTGGATTCCGCAGCGTGGGGCAGGGCATTGGTAGCATCACGATGATGTTTATCACGTGTCCAAAGCTCGGCATGGTCATGCTAACCGTTGTGCCCCCGTTGGCATTGGGGGCGGTGTCGTACGGCCGCTTCGTCAAGAAGCTGACGGCGCAAGTCCAGAGCAAGCTCAGCGATGCGACCGATTTGGCCGAGGAGCGGCTCAACAACATCCGCGTCGTCCGGTGGTTTGCCAAAGAAGAATTCGAAACGGAGGCACACTACGACAAGATCAAGGGGATCCTGGAACTGGCGAAGAAACGATCGCTCGCGAGCGCCACCTTCTTTGGTGCAGTCGATCTGAGCGTGAAGATGAGTATGCTCGGTGTACTTGGCTACGGTGGGACGATGGTAGCCGAGAACGTGCTGACTGTCGGCGAACTCAGCTCGTTTCTCATGTACACGTTGTACGTGGGGGTGTCGTTTGCTGGGCTGTCGTCGTTTTACTCGGGTAGGTCGATGGCGAATGTGTCTGGTGGCTGAGGCGAACGTGGCGGTAGAAATTATGAAGGGACTTGGGGCTAGCCAGCGCGTATTTGAACTGATCGAGCGTATGCCGCAAGTAATCTCGACGCCGACGGCTCCCGTGGCCCTGCCAGCAGACTTCAAGGGTGAAATTGTCTTTGATAACGTGTCCTTTCGGTACCCCGGCCGGCCTGAGTCGGTCATTTTCGACGGCCTCACCATGACGGTGCAGCCGAATCAAACTTTGGCGATTGTCGGGCCAAGTGGCGGGGGCAAGAGCACATTCCTGTCGCTGCTCGCTCGCTTTTATGAGCTCAACGGCGGTACGTCGTTTCGTCATCTGGAGCATGGCGACTCAGGCAACTGTGATCAGAGGGCTGTGGGGGCTCCATCTACATTGACGGCATCAACATTACACACTTGGACCCGCTCGCGCTGCGCAGTTTGATCGGCACGGTATGGCAGCGCTGCTGTGAGGCGTTGAACGAACTGACGGTTGGTGTAGGTGAGCCAAGAGCCACCGTTGTTTGGTGCGACAATTGCAGAGAACATTGCGTACGGGTTAACTCCTGGTTCGACCGTCACCCACGACGAGATTGTTGCGGCGGCAAAGGAAGCGAACGCTCATGACTTTATCATGGCGCTGCCCGATCAGTACGAGACTCACGTCGGAAACAAGGGCCTGACGTTGTCGGGGGGACAAAAGCAACGAGTGGCTATCGCCCGTGCATTGGTCAAGAATCCTCGCATCCTGCTCATGGACGAAGCCACGAGTGCGCTGGACCACGAGAGCGAGCGCTTGGTTCAGGACGCCATCGACAAGTACAACCGACTGCTCTTTTATGGCGATGGAGTGCTGATCGATGATTGTAGGGCCAAGGCGAACCGCACGGTAATTTTGATCTCCCACCGTCTATCGAGCATCAAGAGCGCGGACCGCATTGCCGTCGTCGCTGAAGGCCGTGTCGTCGAAGAAGGGACGTTCGCCGACCTGGCTCAACACCACGACAGCGTCTTCACCCAAGTCGTGCTGTCAGGTCACAGTCACTAGTCGCAATAGAAAATGAAATAGATCGAAGGATGCTTTCGAGCCCTTGTGCCATGGCTGCCATCGAGATTCATGTGTCTGGCATTGTTAGCACCCTTCTAGCGATAGTTCCGTTCCACACAGCATGGGACTTTTGCGCTCCTGCCCGGTATCATCCTAATGGAACGGAATGTGTACTCGAGACGTCCAGATCAACAGCCTTCCCGTCACAGTCCAAAAGTATCGCTTGCACTCACGCTTGTACATGGGGCATTCCTGAAACTACATGGAGCATCGATGCTTCTTTCATCATCGTGAGGTCCGGTAAGGGCGACATTCTGGTTGCCACTCGACTCGTGCATGTGTACGATGAGCTTGCCATGTGCATCCATATTCTTCCGCCGCAGATCAAAACCTCCTTGGAACCCCGAAACCCCGAACGGAGAGTGGTTTTCATTGGATAAAATAGGAATGATTCCACAATGTAATTGGCCAATACTGTTCATCTACCATATGCATCATGGCGTCTGGAATGACCAAGGCCAAGCACCCATGGCCTTCTCCATGTGTGTGTCTCTGCTTGGTAGTGGTCTTTTTTTAGTTCTAGCTTCATTTCGACCTCTGCCTCGTGAGCCACATCCCTCTGCCCTCACGTGGGTGGTGTGCTCGGCGACCATCATGCTGTCCTTGTTTCGTCGGTCTCCACTCATATCGCCTCAGCCGCCGGCATCGTTAGCGACGTGGATCACAGACAGCTCCATCCAAGTGCGGCAACGTCCACTCAATCAGGTCGTGTTCCCTGGAAGCCACAACTCTGGCACATATGCCATCACAGGCAACATCGTGTCTGGAGATTGCGACCCCAGGTTGGTGCCTTACGTCCAACGGTGTCGATTCGTGTCGTCGTTCGTGGCGCGATGGGCAGCAGTATGTCATGGAAATTTCATCCGTGTCGAAAACCTAAGGTGTGTGTAGTGCCAGCGAATGTCCATCACGCAGCAACTGCATGCAGGCATTCGTTACCTTGACTTGCGCGTCCAGGCACTCCCGAATGGAGATATTCGACTGTGCCACAGCTTGTGCTCGATCACCCTCCACAACTGCTTGACCCAAATTCGTGCATACCTCGATGCATACCCCAATGAGCTAATACTGCTCGATGTGAACCACATTTATGTGAGCGATCCTTCGCAATACGCTCAAATTTGTCAGCAAGTTGTTTTGCAACTCGGTCGCGATTGCATCGCCACAAGGGCCGAAACACCAGCAACGAGCACGTTGGCTTCGCTCAACCTCCATCATGTCCAAGTCGTGCTCATCTACCACCACGAACCCACGGCAATGCTTCTGAACGTGTGGGGGGCGAATCATATCCGATCGCCATGGCCCAACGCTTCGTCCACATCTAAAGTGCTCCGATACATCGATGCCTCGCTGGTGGACCGCAAGCTTAGCGTTGACCAAATGCACGTGACGCAGCTGGTGGCGACCGCCCGGCCGCTCGACTTGGTGTGTCACTTCAGTCTGTTAAGCTTTGCCAAGACGTTGCTAGCTCATGCACTCCCATGGCTCAAGCAACTTGCGCAGCAACGAGACGCTCGAACGAAAGCGTGTAATGTCGTGATGGTCGACGACTGTGGCGCCCACCAGTACCAACTCATCCAAGCCATCCTGACCCTGAACAAGACCAAGGCTGGCCAAAATGACGCTCACGTCGACCTCAATCGATAGTAGGAGAACAAATTCTGCATGGAGTACCAATCATCTATACTGCAGAATGGTCGTTGTGCATGGAGGATTTCGGAGTGTCGAGGTAAGGACGCACATGCCACGGAGGTGCCAAGGATGTCTATTCAACACAATTTCGATGGCCATTCACGTCATTTCTGGAGAGTTGGGTCGAGTTCAGCCGGCACAGCCATCACATCGTGGACTCGGTCGAAAACAAGTCATTCCTGCTGATCAAGTGCTGCTGAGTACCGCTGGCTCCTTTCGCGTTGTCTGGGACTCAAGTGTGGTGGAGATGAAGATCGTTCTGTTTAAAATAGATATGTCTTTACTTCAGTCTACACGCCCTTCTTGCGCAGGGTGTGGAAATGTACGAACGACTTCTTAGCAGGTTTGCCCGCCCCCTTCTTCTTCTTGGCCAGAATAGCATGGTCCTTGCGGTTCGTCTGCTTGATATCTTTGCTTAACAAGATGGATCCAACAGCCCCTTTCGCGATCACACCGTCCAGCGTATCATCCACCACTGGCGTCACCATCGCAGGCTTCGAGCTACCGAACGCGTTCTTGAGACTTGCAAACGAACTGCCCTGCTGAGACTCGATAGCCTTCTTCAGCTCAGCTTGGACCTTGGCTTCCTTTTTCTCCTGATCAGCCTTTCCGATCGTCGCACGGAGCTCGCGGCGCCAGTACTTCTTGATCTTAGACCTGATGCTCTTCGCCATGTTGTTTGGAATGAGGTCAACCCACCCAACCAAAGCAAACGACACCAACCACTTCAACCTTGTCCTTCATAAAAAACAATTGCGTTTATTGCATACACACATCAAGCTCAAATTGAATCTTCTTATTAAAATCCACTGGTGCTCGCATACCATTTCCGTCTGGTACTGTTCACATTATTTAGGTTGGACATAAATAGTGTAAAATGTATTACCTTGGTTTAAGAACAACTGTCTGTGATCAGTCAACACTTCCTCTGCTCCAAAATATGTCCGCGAGTTATAGGAGGGTGTGCTGGACTTGTCATTATAGTCAGGAGTGAATTGCAAACACGGTGTCACCTGCCTCGCTTCGAAATACATTCCTGTGATTGGATCACTAGAACAAGAGCAACGTGAGCTCCCGGTAGATGCAACGAGACTGGTATATCTCAAGCGATGTTACTCTACATTCAAAATATAGTATACTAGTATTCATATCAAATAAATATGTACAACGACCAGCATTCTTGAAATTGAAATTACACAAAAGACGCAACCTCACCGAAGACGAGCGCGAGGCCATCCGTCACGAGGTCTTGCTTCAAGCAACGCCACCTGCATAACCTGCCTGACAAAGGGTCTTGGCCAGGACCTGGCGAACAAGTACAATTGCCATGTTTTGACCATTCGCCGGGTCATTGCACTAGAGAAGTAGCAGGTGTCGGTCAAGGTAACATGAAAGTCACTGTTGCAAGCAGGAAGAATGGTAGAGTTGAATGAAATAAGGCGTTCACTGCAGAGCAAGTCAACGTGAAACTTTTGCAAGTACCTCGTGCTCAAAGCACTACGTTTCGACCCATTTCGTCGGAAAGAACAGGAATGTTACAGTAGTCATGCGAAAGAAGCTCACTTTGGGATAGGATTAAGTTCAGGGTCATTGCAACTTGGCAAGTTTCGGTCCTACTCGAACGACATACGAACGTCCCTCGCCGATATCAATAAGTATGGACTTATGCAGTATGCGTTGAATTTTGTTGGCTCCAACATGGAGTTCAATAGTATGTTGCAAAATCGTTCACTTGGACGAGGAGTAGGTCTACGTTACTGAGGAGAACCGCAAGTACTTCCCCGTGTCTGGATAACAAGAGCCAAAGCGAGTGCGCAAGAGCATGAGGTAAATTTTGAAAGCGATGTTTCTGCGTGCCATGCTCCGACCACGATACGTCCATACCGCTGGGAAGTATAGGGACGGCAAGATCAGCGTATGTCCCTTCGATTCTACGTGATAGCGTGAACCATTCAGCTGGCACCCTCAAAACCAAGTCAATCAACGTCACCAAGGAAGCATACCATACCTTCTTGCTCGAAAACTTTTGCCCTCCATCGTCGCAAAGTGGCCGAGCGAGGAACGTATCAAGTTGTAACACGACACGCCCCAGTGCATGTGACTCCCAACCATCCGCGGCTCCAACGAACCCAGACCAAGTACGTGGCGAAGGGTGAGAAAATTGCATTAACGTTATACTTACGGGGTGAGTTTCCAATGGGCCGGAACCTGACTATCTAGTGTCGTTAGTAGTACTAGCGGGACTTTGGAGAGGGTAGCCTGAAGTAGGGGAGGGGGACGAAATAATTCGTGCGCCTATCACAAATTGAGGAGGTAGGGGAGAAGGTTGGCGGCCAATGAGGGTCGCTGTAGGCGTTTGCCTTGAGTAAAGACAGGGCGGAAGGGGATGGGAAGACCTCAGGCGCTTGAGTGTTCGGTCGTTTTTGGAAAGGAACGTCCTCGATGTTCGGTGGAGGCCTTGAGCGCGGTTTTCGGTGATTGCGGCTGCGGCAGAGGCCGGGCGGGCCCCAAACTTCGGGGTCCGCCTCAACACGACGCGGCAAACAACTTTTGCATTGGCTGCGTGGCGCGATTCGGCCGAGAAGAGTTTCGGCGGTGAAGGCGGGCCGATTTCCAGCTGTTTGTGCGGGAGGCGGCCGTGGCGAAGGGAAGGACCATGTCGCCTGAGCCTCAGCCAACTAACCCGCCAGACACAAATGTCCTGGAGCTTTGCTGCTTCGCCGTGATACAGCCCCTACAGCATTGCAAATCAGTGCGAACAATCATCGCAAACGACCTCATCGCGCACGTGACCATTTCGTTCGACGAGTACCAGTTCGAGCGCTTGAACTGTACTTTCTTGTCGCATCAGGCCTGTTTGGTCGAGACGTTGAAGCTGTTTGGTGACAACGCCTACAAGTGCCTCACATGTCAATGTAGAGACAAGAGCATTATGAGATGTTACAGCAGAACGTGTCGTGCCCGCGCGAAGTGTTCGAGGCTGTGCGGTCCAAGCTGGATGGCGCAGCATCGGACTTCTTGAACGTTCACAGGATGCCGAGTTGGTGGAGGCCTGGTTCATCGACTACTGTTTTAACTAAATATTTAGTTAGTCCGGTGGACAGAACAACAATAGGGAGAGTCAATTTGGGAATTTTTGGTCTGCTTTTGATTTTCAAGGATTTTGAAAATCGAAACTATATTTGGGCACTCTCAGTCGAAAAGTGTAGGGGAGTCAACAAGACCAACCGATTTTAGTTTATCCGTATCCGTATGCTGCAAGACCAACCGATTTTAGTTTATCCGTATCCGTATGCTAGATTACATTGTGCA